TGAGCCTTACTCAGTGAACTAGAATATTTCCTCCAATTCTGGCCTCTCCTAGAGTTTGCACAAGATAGGAATTGCTTCTTGTTTATCTGGTAAAAGCCATCTGGCTGTGAAGCTTTCTTTATCAAAAGATCTTTGGGTAATCAATTCATTTATGTTTATAGAATAACTCCTATTTTCTCTTACTTTCACTCACTTTGGGAAAGCTGTATTTTCTTAGGATTTTGAACATTTTTCCATACTTTTATTGGCATAAACTAGTCATAATGCCATCTATCTGTTTACTGTCTGTAGCACCTATACTTATGTTCCTTTTTGCATTCTTTATAGAGATTATTTATGCCTCTTCTCCTTTTCTCATATTCAAACTTTCCAGAAGTTTGTCAACTGTAATTATTGGTCCTTTTCAAAACAGCTGACGTTTGGCTTGGTTTATACTTTGTCTTGTATATTTGTTTTCTAGATCATTAATCTCTGCTCTTATATTTATTATATTCTGTCATATAATTTTGGGTTTTCTTTTCTATACTTTACTAATTTTTGGAGACATATGGTTTACATTAATTTTCAGCCTTATTTTCAAAGGTAAGTATTTAAGGCTCCAATTTTATAATTATTGCATTAGCTATATCCCCTTAGATTTTCTATTTAGTATTGATTAAGTTTGAAATAGTCTCTAATTTCCTCCAATTTCTAATCATAATTTCCACCTATGATTTTTTTCTTCGAACCATGAATTATATAAAATTGTGTTTCCTAATTTCCCATTTTTTGGAGATCATATTAGCTTTTTAAAATTGCTTTCTGTATTTAAATGTACTTTGGTAAGAGAACATGTTGTACATAATTTCAGTCCTTTTAAATTTTTTGAAACTATTTAGGGAACACAGTTAATTTTTAAAATATTCTTGTATATGCTTTAAAAGTATGTATATCCTTGAGTTTCAGAGTCTACTAGGTCAACATTATGCTAATTATCTTGTTGATATAATACTTATTTTTTGGTCTGTTGTTTCTGTCAACTAATGAGAGATGTCTGTTAAAATCTACCACCATGACTAGAGATGCATTTATTTATTGTGGTAGTTCTAAAAATTATTCCTTTATATATTTTGTACATATCCATGTATATATATATGGATACTTGATATCCATATATATGTATAATTTTTATATCTTCCTTGAGAATTGAGTTTTTATCCCTGTGAAGTGACTGGCTTTATCTCTAGCAATCCTTTTATACACAAAGTCCGTTTTGTCTCATAGTTACACCTGTTTGCTTCTGGCTAGTATTTGCATGGTAAACTATTCATGACTGAAGGATTATTTTGTTGTTTTTGCCTTTCCTCCCAAAGTGATGAAAATTTTTCCTGCAACTCAAGTCAAAATCCAACATATGGCAATAATTTCTAAAGAGCATTTTTTCTTTTTTCCTGGTCTAAGTGGCAGAGAAACTTATCTCGTAAGACCCTGGGGCTCAGAGTGGGTAGAGACAGGTTTAGCATCTCATTCACACTTAACCTGAAGTTGTAGTCCTTTGTGGCCTCAGAATTCCAGCATTAATTCCCCCTCCACCCTTTTTTTTTTTATATATATATCCTCAGCTTTGACTCCACATACAGTTCCTCAAGGGGTCATCACATTTGAAACTCAAAATTGCCTAGTTAGGGAAAAAAAAAAAAATGATAGCCTTAGGCAGCAAAAGCCCTCAGGGCAAAACATCTTCACATCTTCAAGGCAGCCTGTCTTTCAAAGTTCATGGGATTTTAATTTGCCACTTGACACATTTGCTATCCCTCTAAAAACTTTATAATTATTCTTTCTATATCTTAACTGAAAAGATTGTATATTGTAACAGCTAAGAATTCAAATGCTAAAGTCAAGGGGACCTGAATGAATATCTCAACTTCGCAGCTTAGTAGCAGTGAAATGTGGGCACATCACTTCACCTCTCTGAGCGTCAATTTCTTCGCTATAAAATACAGATACATATTGTTATTGAAGTGATTAAATGGGATCCTGGGCAGCACTTGGCACTCAAGATTCATTAGCTCAAATGCCTTGGGTTGCAAGAGACAGAAAATCCAGTCTCAAAGTCACTATAGGTCACACATATGTATAAGTTTAGTTTATTCAGTAGTTCAAGGACATTATCAGTGATTAGAGTCTTTATATCTTTCTTCCCTGTTATACTTCAGCATACTGGCTTCTTTCCTCTATGATCTCTTGATGACATTAGCATCTTCAGCCATTTTTTTCTTCATGGCAAAGTCCAAAGACCTTAAGAAACATTTTCCTTTTTATGTCTCTCAAAACCTTTCCCAGTCGACTCTCCTTACAGGTCAAAAATGTTCTCTCTTGACCATTTCCAATCATTGACAAAGTGGTACTGATGCAGGAAAATGTAGGATGAGAGGATGGCTATGCCCCAGGTCTCAGTTGAGTCCCTGGGACATGCGCTGCCAAGTGTGGGTCCTTGGCTTCATGCAGGAAAGAATTCATGAGCAAGCCACAGCTGAGTAAAAGTGGATTTATTCAAAGAGATATGTACTCCATAGACAGAGTGCAGGCTGTCTCAGAAGGCAAGAGAAAGGCCACGAGGTGAGAGGTTGGGTGCTTAGTTTAAAGTAAAAGTGGATGTGAGAGGTCATGAGGCATGGGGATGGGTGTATAGTTTAAAGTAAAAGTAGCTACACACTCCATAGAAGGGTGCTATCTGTCTCACCCAGAAGGGAGAGAGGCCACATGGTGCAGGGTTGTTAGTTTTTATTGGCTTGGTAACTTCACATGCTAGCAAGTGGGAGGATTATTCCAACTACTTTGGGGCAGGGGCAGGGTTCCCAGGAATTGGGCCATTGCCTACTTTTTGACCTTGTATGGTCAGCCTCAAAACTGTCATGGCGCCTGTGGGAGTGCCATTTAGCCTGCTAACATACTATAATGAGCATAAATTGAAGCTCAAAGCCTACTGGAAGTCAAATCTCCCACCATCTTGCGCCTCAAGGCCTACCTGGATTTGAATTTTCCACCATGTTGGTGTTAATTGCTGTGTCATTCCTTGAATGGCTGTGCCTTGCCCCCTTCCTTCCTGTCTCAGTATGGAGGCACGGTGATTGTCTTAAATCATGACTCTGGGGCTAGGGATCATGTTTTTACCCATAAACAGATGGCTGCTATAAAGACTGCTTATAGCTGAAGAAAACTGTCAATTTGTTAAAAGGAAAAGGAGTGAGTTGGCTATGGGTAGAAATAAATAGTCTTAAGTTTTTATTACATCATCATTATTATTATTGTTGTTATTATTATTATTATTATTATTATTATTATCATCATTATTATTCAATACATTAATTGATAAAATGTATTCCACATGGGACAGCCAAAATGGACCTTGAAATATCTGAAATACACTGTTAAAATTGTTACATGTTTACACAACTCCATTAATCTGGACCCTTTGAATAGTGTTCCTAGGGCAATTATTTTTCTAATTCACTATTAAAGCATCTTTTTTTAAAAAATCTTGCTCACAAGTATAAGATAAAAGAGCTTGTCTATTGACTTACTAAAGTTCAGAAAGACTATACCTAATGATATTTGAGGGAGAGTGAGGTTGTTCATTAGTCTAGTATTTCTGTCAAAAAGAAATTTACTTGGACTGATATGATTCAGATCAGCCAGACAGAAATTCAGTAAGGAAACACAGGCCTTAAATGACAGATAGACCAGATAGACTTAATTGATATTTATAGAGCATTCCATTCAAAAGCAGCAGAATACACATTCTTTTCAAGTGCACATGAAACACTCCCCAGAGTAGAGCACATGCTGGCCCATGTCCTCCTCAGTAAATTTAAGAAAATTGAAATTATATCATGCATCGTATCCAACCACAACACTATGGGGTTAGAAATCAACTTCAAGGAAAAAACTGCAAAGTACCCAAAGATATGGAGGCTAAACAATATGCTACTAAACAAGTAATGGATCACAAGGAAATTAAAAAGGGAATCAAAAAATACTTACAGAAAAATGAACATGAAAACATGCCAATCCAAAACCCATGGGATGCAGCAAAAGCAGTTCTAAGAGGGAAGTTTCTAGTGATACAAGCTTACCTCAGGAAACAAGAAAAAAATCTCAAATAAACAACCTAATCTTACACCTAAAGCAACTAGAGAAAGAAAAACAAACAAAATCCAAAGATAGTAGAAGGAAGGAAACCTTAAAGATCAGAACAGAAATAAATGAAATAGAGACAAAAAAAAAGGAAAAGATCATTGAAACTAAATGCTGGTTCTTTAAAAAGATCCCATTACTTTTTTCTAAAATTTAAAACGTTTTCCATGTATAATTATTTCATCACTGTAGCCACTTTTTAATACAGCTGTGGTTTTCATCATAATATGGTAGTCAGTGTGCTACATCATATGTCCAAGTTGTCATTTGTATTCTGTCTGTAGCTTTTTCTAAGTCCAGAGCATTTTTCTAGTCCTACCCAGATGTCAGTACACAGTTGTACTTCCTCCTACTTTTCTCAGTGTATATACCTGTTTCTTGGTTCATCATAATAAAACATACTGTATCAATATTCATATAGAGCAATGTTAGCAAATCCAGATTGAGCCTCAGATTTCATAGGCAATATAATATAAATATCTTTAGAAGGAGATGAATAACATAATAGATAGAACTCTCAAGTTTTCTGTCTTTCTGTCTTCTCTCTTCATCTTCCCCCTTTCACTGAATTTCCTTGGATTTCTTGACCCTGACTATTTGATAAGTTTATATCTGGTTCTTAAGATGGTGGTGGGTGTATAGACATGTTTGAGAAATTAGTAAGCTATGAATCACTTCAGTAAAAAAAGTCCAGATATCCATATGTACACAGACACGTACACACACACACACACACACACACACACACACAGGCAACTTAAATGGAACAAATCACCTAGTTATCCCAATATTGTGCATTCACAACACAAGTATTATTTTCTCACCTGCTAATGAGGAACTTGGATTAGATGACCTCTAGTCTGGCAAGCTATGGAAAGAAAAAAGAAACAACTTCTCATTACATAAATTTCCCACATTTGGAGATAGGAAGCATTGTAATCACCTCTCTTCTCAGGGACTTTGAGGAAAGTGATAAAGAAAGTATTTATACCTGAAGGGATAACACTTGATGCGACTAGTAATTAAACCACAAGGGTTTATTTTTCTTTTCTCACTGTTTTCTCCCAATTAAAGCACAGTGACCCTCACATTGGTGTCATTTTGGTCTCAGATAATGGCCTTAATACTAACCAAGGGGAAAAAAAAGTACTAATTATGGAGAACATTTTTTCACTTTTCGTGTTCCAGTCTTAAACTTTATTCTATTGCATTTATTGTAAAATGGACAACTGCAGCAAATTCAGCATAGAAGGCCATGTCACATGTATAGTCCAAAATGTGGCTTGCAAGTTTTCAACTGCTTTGGTTTTCTTGCTATGAAATAGGGTTTTCTTCTACATTTATTTTCTTGTCCTTCGATAAATTGAACTAAGACAGTTTGTGAAAGGCTACAGCTTTTTGCATACACTGCTACCAAGTTCCTTTCAAATGCCACCTCACTTTTCTTGATGGTAGACTATCTCTCAGGGTTTGATGTGTAGCCCCAACCTCTAGCTGTACGTTGAAGGGGAGGAACTGGTGTTGCATAGAGGATTACAGGGATCTCAAAGTCAGTATTCCAAAACAGGCAGGATACAATGAAGGAGTGAGAGAGGGAATGGGGTCACAGATAAAATACTAGAGCTACGAGTTCAGTGATGACTAAAATCTGACCCAGTCCCTGCCCACCTAGAGCTTACAGTCAAGTTTTATAAAATACATTAATCAAATAATCATACAGCAAAGGAAACGTACATGGTGCCTTGATAGTTTGCAGCTGGGGGCTGAACTGAGAGTCCTGAGAAGGCCTCCCCGATAAAGTGATGTTTGAAATCTGATGGATGAAAGAGAATTAAGTGGGCAAGGGAACCCAGGCCTTCCCTGGCTACCAAGCAGCAGGAAAGAGACTCTCATGGCTCATTTTAGTAAATAAAAGAAGTCTAGTGTTACTGGAACAGAGGAAAAAGAGAGGGTGATTGAAACAGAGCCTGGAAGAAAGGTGGAATGACACAATAAAGAGCCTTGTGAATCCAGGAGAAAGATTTCAGTCTTGAACCACAAGAAAGCACTACATAGATTTGTGTCTTTATAAAGATGCAAAGTGGTGACATTAACAGATTTATATTTTGATAGATCACTCTGGCTGCACTTGGAGCACTATTCTGCTTACTTCTCAACTGTCTTCCCTTTTTGGAGCCCAGAGTTGTTTCTGCAGAGGATTAAAGCAAATTACTCTTCCATCACACTGAATACATCAGAGTACATAGTGACTTGTTTTTCACATCTATACTGAATTTAAGGTATTTATTCCCGCCTCTTATGCCCAAAGCTGTTTAAATTACCATGGAAATGGTTTGTCTACTGTCATACCATCATAGTAACAAATCTTAACTGGCAGGCTTCTCTTGGTAATGCGTCCCTCTGGAATTTATTAAATTAAATTTGTATTTTCTTTCTGAAAAAATAGAAATGCATATATTTATTCTGACACCTGCTTGGTTATTGCATTTAATTATATGCAAAGTCCCAGTCAATAAACAGGCATTTATATGTATAGTAATTTTAAATTGTATTGCTATGACATTTGCACTGTTTTTTGAGATGTATCTTAATACATAAAAATGAGAAATAGATAATATTATCCCATGGTCAGTAACACACAAGATTTTTTTCTGAGATAAATGTAATTTATTAAGGCATCATTTCAAAGTAATGTATCATACTTTAATATGAGCATTATCCTCTGCTCATATTAAACTCCTCTGAGCGATATTATTTCAGTAATCCATTATTACTCCCCCCCCCACAAATCTTGGTGAAATAAAAACAAAAATTGTATAATTTATGTGACTAGAAAATTAATAAATAAGCTAAGGAAACATGTCAGAAAAAACACAATTAATTCTAGAACACTTTCTTCACTGATCCTCTACTTATAAGCTGAAGACATTTGAAGTAAAATAAAGCACTGACTGTCCTGTCTGGACAAGTCTTGCCAATCTGTCATATATCTACATCCCAGATGCCGTTTGTCATTTCTCCCCTCAGTCTGTGGAAGATCTAAAAATACAAAAAGACTTTCTAAGAATAGTAGTATTAATATCTTGAAACAGCCACACTATTTTTAAGTGTTGTTTTCCATTGCTCTTTTCTGATAAAACTAGCTCCATACTCCCACCCAGTGGGATACCTTCACAGAAGGATTTAAGAAGGAAGAGGAGAAAGAGAAGGGGGTGGAAAGGGAAGAATAATAAGAGAACTAGAGGAAGAGGAGATGAAGGGAAAGAAAAAGAAAAAATACCTTTTCCTTTTAAATCTCACAGTTGGAAAACCTGGTTTTCCAACTTTACCTTTACCTTTGACCCCCCCCAATGCCATTTTCCCACTGCTAAGCTATACTCAAAAATGTCTCACCTCTGTTTAGCAAAATGTGATCTTGCTATGTGCGTGAAGCCTGGGAATACAAATATGTCTGATTAACAATGCTAATCCAGTGTTGCTTTTGACAATATTTCATTCTAATTCAGCCATCTAGAAAGATGTATATTTGAAGCTCCAAGTGAATGCTGCTTGAAAATATGTTCAGAATGAGGCCATTTTAGTGCCTTCATATTTTAAGTTTTTTCAGTTGCATTATTTTAAATGGATTCAGAAGTTTTTCATATAGGAAGATATGTAAAGTAAAATAATTTGTATAATTTTCCCCATTAGAGGCAATTTAAGTAAATTTCCAGAATTGGCAAATCTGTAAATACCATCAATCATTATTCAACAAATATTTGTTGATCATCTACCAGGTGGTGAGAACTGAGGGTTGAAGATGATGAAAAGAATGTGCTGCCCTCACAGTTTCCTTTCTTGTGAGGACACAGCATACAAATAACAGAATATAATGTCAGGTAGCGATAAACAGCTGAAGAAAGTTAAAGCATGTTAAGGAAACATGAATAAGTTATCTAAGGAATAGCTGTCTGAGAAAGTGACATTTGAGCAAGAAACAAAATGGCATAGAAGACTAAGATGCTGTTGAAGAGCATTCCAGAATGAAAGAATACAGTGGAAAGGGCTGTGAGGTGGGCATGTGTCTAAATAATGTCACAACACTGCACTCTTGTCAAGTAAGCATATAAGACCTAAATACTATCAAACATTTTGAAAGAAGTCTGATTTGTATAAAACGTAATTGTTCCGACTTAACCAAAATTTGGAGAACCATTCATATTCTCCTAATAAAGGTGAACAGCAAGAGTTTAGTTTTATTTCAATTACTGTGAGATAGTTATGAATTTTCATGGCCATGTCTCTGGATATGCAAATTAGAATTTTTATTTTTCTATAACTTCATTTTTATTTTTCTATAGAAAAATTTTTATTTTTCTGTAAAATCAACATTTTACCTGATGGAAAAACATAGTCATATTCAATTCCAAGTCAGTTATTTCAGACCTTCTCCCCGAATGTCATAAATTCGAGAAGGCTTACACAACACCATGACAGAGAGGTAGAGGTTGGAGGTAGAGGTAGGAAATAGGAATGTTTTATTTTCTCATCTATTAAAGTTCATATCCTGCTGGGTCTTTTGATATGTTCCTTTTGTTACACTGGCAACTGCTGAGGGATTCTGCCTTCTCACTGGGTCAACAACAGCATAAGCTATGGTTGTTTTCTGCTCTATAGCACTGTCATCACCACAAGATCCTTTAGGTCCTCATCATTCTCATCCCCAAAAGAAAACAGTGGCTACTTCCTGTATCCCTTGAGAGCTTATGTAAATACAAGATGCACCTTCAAGTCAATTTTAAAAGGAGGGTGTAGGGTCTAGCCTAGCTGTTAGCGTTTTCTTGATTGGCTTCAGCTGCAGTAAGCTGCCTTGCCTGGGGTCACATGCATTGCTGGGTGGTCCACGCCCAGTGATAGAGCAAGGTGTGGGGATAGAGGCTCAGCCATTTCAAACAGCCTAGGAAACTGGCGATTCTTGTTCCAAAGCTTCCCATGAGGTTAGCCAAGGCTGTATCATGGTTGGACTTCTTCTATCCTATCCTGCTTTTCTCCCTCTTCCTTTTAAAGATGTTACACCCCTAATAAACATCTTGCACCCCAAACTCCATCTTAGCGTCTGCTGCTGGAGAGCCTCCCTTGTAAAAAGGGCTTAATTACATCAATTGAATGAGTCTACCGCACACTCTTTTGCCCAGGCACATGATACAATTGTTCCAGTTCTATTTTCCCACACCATGGTCATCAGAGGGACGTACCATTCTGCCACCCAGGTAACCCGGTAGAAAGTCCCCTTTTATTTCACATCTCCAGACCTACTGTGGGGTGTTGATCTTGTACCACTCAGCTTGGAACTACGCCCAGAACAGGAGGCAAAGCATGCGGGTCTTTCATTCATTCTTGGGAGTTTCTTTCTTCTCCAACTCTTCTCTCCCTTGGAACTGCAACTATAAAAACTGATAAAAATTAAGTTAGCAAGAGTTCTCCCACATACGTGGTCTGATGTCTGGATCGTGGCTTTTTGTCTAAGTATAACAGTAAAAATTCATCCTTTTTCCTCTATTCCAGAACAACTCACTCCTCGCCTCAGTCACCCAATGATGGATGAATCATGTTTAGAAGCTTGAGCTAAAGGGAAGGGAGAAGGTCATAGAGTAAAAGTAAATTCAAAACAAAAGAAATATATGTTTCCAATGAGACCCAACCCACATCCCTTTGGGGCAGGCACAGGACCCACCTCTGACCAGTCCAAGCCCTTCCCTGGGTGTTTTAATAACTGGAGCAGAATGTGGGACAAAGGATTTTTACTATCTAATAACTAAGTTGCAAGAAGCACTAAAAGCTGCTAGAAGTCATGTACACCCCTCCCCTGCTCCTGGACAAAGAGTTCATTTGCATGACAAAATACAGAGGAAAAGGCAAGAAACAAAACCATCATCTTGATATTCAAGACCCTGAATCAGTATCTATGGACCCCAGAATTGTCCTATTCCTGCCTTCCTGAAGCTGATGTTTAGCTCTTGGACTCTAAAAACTTTCCCAGAATCTTTCCAATGTTTTTTTTTTCCATAAATTGATATAAGTGGGGTTCATTATATGCAATCAAAATAATATACCTTATAAAAATACATTGGAACACTTGTATATCCAGTGATGACCTTTGGCCTATGAAATGTACCCATAATTTGTCAAGGGTTGTTGTCCCCACTTCACCACACACACACACACACACACACACACACACACACACACAGAGAGAGGCTTCTAGGCCAAGGAATAATCTGCTCTCTGAATGACAACTTAGTCAACTAAATATACTCACATACTCTCAACTCAAAAATTCATTTCAGCCTGTTAATCTAGGTCCATTTGTCTAGGTCAGCATCATTTGCATATAAGATCTGAGCAAGATGTACTTAATTGACTAGTGTTGAGTGTCATATCTACTTCCTTAAGGGAGTCCAAATACATCTGAAAAAAATTAGTGTTATAGTCATTCACTTACCAATGAGAGCATTCAATGATTCCCAAAATCTCTGGTTTTTATTATTGGTTCTTATTTCTCATCTTTGACATCACCCAGTCCTTTTCACATATCCTCTGAATAAGAAATCATCATTTCAGTGATTCCTGATAGCATAATATATTCTCCAGTGTCTGTAATTTAAATTTCACTTTGAAAACTTTCTCAGCTGCTTGTGATTGAGATTGATGGACCTAAATGACCATGGATGCTGTGGAGGCCCAGAGGAACTCTAAATTTT